TTCCCCTCCTCCCCCAGCGCCCACAGCCCGGAAGGAGCCCGGGCCGCCGGCTGCCCTGTGCCAAGCACAGCCGGGATCCAACACATCACCTGGCGGATGGCGTCTGCGACTCCGCCTTCCTCACATCTCCAAAATGAACGGGGATGCTGGGCACCCGCGGCTCACGCCTGTCATCCTAGCCACTGAGATCTGAGGATCGGGGTTCGAAGCCAGCCCGGGCAGGAAAGGCTTATCTCCCGTAAACCACTAGAAAACCGGTAGTGGAGCTGTGGCTCAAGTGGTAGAGCACTAGCCTGGAGCACTCAGGGACAGCGCCCAGGCCCTGAGTTCAAGCCCAGGACTGGCACAAACAACAACAACAACAAAGCAACCCACAGGGGGGTCCGCCCACCCACGCCACCAAGGCTCCCTGGACGGGGTGTGCCACTGACTGGCATCACACGCACCCCGCTTCACATCTGGCCCCAGTTCAATCCTCCCGTCACCCTGGGCACAGCAACACCCCCACAGTTCAGAGGGGTGCACTGAGACCCCAGCACTCGCCCCCCACCCCCCTGGGGTTGGGTCAGCAAGGATAGATGCTACTTTTACATCTTATTTTACAGATGGAGAAACTGAAGCCTAGAGAGGGGTCGTCATCCATGCAAAGCCCTCTGGCAGTGGGGGTGGCAGCGTCAGGATTTGAACCCAGATCTGCTGCCTGGGGGAAGCTATGTCAGCCCTTCACGGGGAGCTTCGTGGGCTGTGCCGGGGCTCAGTCAGTAACCAGGTCAGAACTGGCTGAGGGAGGAGGTGTTTCTTCATCTGGGGTGAGGGCTGTGTGGCCCACAGAGGCCTATGCAAGTGGTGTGTATGTGTGTGTGTGTGTGTGTGTGTGCGTGTGTGTGTGTCTGTGTCTGGTGGAAGTGTGCGTGCATGGTGTGTGTGCATGCTCATAAGCATGATGACAAGCATGTGAGAATGTAAGAGGCATGTGTGTTCATGGAGCAGGACCAAAGCCCCCATCAGAAGAGATCTAGAGCCCCCCAAGTCCCCAGGGCAGTCTCTGCGCCTCACTTTCTGCCCGAGCTGTCATGTGGGAGGCAGCCTTGGGTGGGGACCCCCTCCTCAAGTGTCCTGAGGAAGGGCGGCCTCCTCCGGCACTCAGGTCCCAGGCCTGGGTGGACAGCAGTCACCTTCAGTGTTCACCCGGAGGAAGCTGGCTCCTGGCCCCAGGGGTCAGAGCTGGGTTCAAATTCGACCCAGCTTAGCTTCCTCTTGGAACCTCAGTTTCTCTCGAGTCTTGTCAGGTGTATCAGCACTGGAGCTCCAACTCAGGACTTTGGGTGCTGTCCATGAGGTTGTGTTCAAGACTAGCATTCTACCGCTTGAGCCACAACTCCACTTCTGGCTTTTTGCTGGCTCATTGGAGACAAGAGTCTCATGGACTTCCCTGTCCAGGTTGGCTTTGAACCGCCATCTTCAAATCTCAGTCTTCTGACTAGCTAGGATTACAGGCATGAGCCAATGGCACCTGGCTTCAGAGCCTTTGTTAAAAGATGGGGTCTTGCCCTGTAGCCCAGGCTAGCCTGGAACTTGCCAACCTCCTGCTTCACGCTTCCGGCAGCTGGACTTACAGGTCTGACGTGTGTGTGTGTGTGTGTGTGTGTGTGTGTGCCATGTGGCTGGCTGTCACATGCTCCTCCTAGCAATGTGGGCAGCTTCTGTCACTGCAGCCTGGTGAATGGCCCCTGAGGCTGTGTGATCTGAGACCAATCGCTCCCCCTCTCTGAGCCTCCTTCCCTCAAGTCTGAGACAGCGGACTCGAGGGGCTTTTTCTGAACCCCAAGAGTCCTGAGAAAGTGGGCTGCCAGGGTTTGGGACGTTTGAGGCTGGAGTTTGGGGAGAGGGAGAGAGGAGGGGCTGGCTTGAGGTCTTGGGCCTGTCCCATCGTGGGTGCCCCCCTCCCGCTCTGGGGGCCTGGTCCCCCTCCACTGCCAAGCCCGGACCACAGCCGCTGGGAACCACAGCGGCTTCCGCTCCGGGTGCTGAGCCGCGCCAGGCGCTGTGTAAGCGGTTTGTTTGTGTTGTCTGGTCTCTGCCACTGGGGAGCTGTCTGATGGTCCCCAGGTGTGGAGATCTGGGTACAGGGGCTCCCACTGCCCCCCTCTGGCTTGAGTCCACCCCCCCAGGGGCTTCTTCAGGGTGACAACTTGGCTCAGCTTTGGGCTCCCATGTCACACACAACCCAACCCCCACACACACACACTGGGGACTCGCGATCCCCCCCCCCGGTCTGGTGTCCATTCGCTGACCGTCCACCCCGGGGCCCAGTACAAACAGGAAATGCTTTTCTCCCAACCAACACACAAATCTGGGCCGCGGTGGCTTCCTTCCCCTGGGAGCCCCCTGGGAGACACAGGTCTCCCCAGCTCTGGGAGGCCCTACCAGGCCTGTCCTGTTTCCCACAGCAACTCAGACACCTGAGGAGACATCGCAGCCCCAGGGGACGCAGCAGCCGGGGGACCCCACCAAAGAGAGAGAGAGACAAAACCCAAAGGAGTCCCTGCAGGTCTGCTGCCCTCCCTCCAAGGCTGCGGCCTGGCGGGGGTGGGGGGGGGAGATGGCCGAGCTCACCCCAGGCACCCACCGGCACTCAGCCTCAGCTGCCCCAAGCACTGATTTCTGCCCTTCTCACCCGCCCGGCTCCCAAACCAGGCTTGGGGCTGGCAGGCTGGGAGGGGAGGAAGGAAGCTGTCAGAAAATCCTAAGTTAGGGCCCGGAGAAGCCTTCCTGTCTCCAGCGGGAATCCTTGGGGTGGGGTGGGGCAGTGTCCTTTTAGGGAGTTGCGGGGGGGGGGAGGGACAGAAGGATAGGGCCAGGCCCAAGCAGTCATGGCAGGCCAGGGTGTCTGTATTTGCAGTTAGGAGCTCTGCAGGCTCTGTGCTGTGGACAGAATCCTTTCTGGGCGAGCCTCAGTTTCCTCATCTGGAACATGAGAAGCTTTCCTGGGGCTTTCCTGGGAGTGAAGTGTTGGGTGGGAAGGATGGAGAACGAGATGGTCTTCTTCCCGAGGTTTGTCGCCTCTTCCCTTCCTGAGATTTACCCTCATGCCAATTGTTCCCTTCCCACTGCCCATCCTCACACCTGC